CTTCCGTCTCGGGCGCCGCTTTGCCCATCTCGTCCGCCCCTCCGCCCCACGCTCCCTCCATCTCGTCCGCCCCTCCGCCCCCAATTCACGGTGATTGCCAAACGAAGCCATGGCGTGATGCATGAGACGCGCGATGCTGGTTCGCATTAAGATCGAGATCCTGTACACGTGTGTGTACACGTGTGCGTGCATGCCCAACGTGACACGGGCGAGCGTCGGTTCAAATCGAGACACCGTGCGAGTCGACGAAGGTCGAGGCAGCCCCCACAATGTCTGTCTGACGCCAGCACCACTGGGCAGGCTCAACGTAAAATCTCTCCTCGCTTCTGGCGCACTCCAGGTGATGTGGTCGTAGGTGTCTGGAGATGGCATCGCGTGAGATCACGTGTCCTGTCATCATCCCCATCGTCGTCATCAATATCATCTTCCTCTCATCAACAAGCAACATCATCATCATCAATACCACGTCCATCACCAATCACCACTCTAAAAACGTTACCATCAAACATCGCCATCATCACCACCCCCGATGCCATCATCACCATTGTCATCAGCAGCATCATCACCATCTTCACCATTGTCAGCAGCATCAATACTATAACCATTGCCATCACCAGCCATCACCATCGTCATCACCACCATTATCATCAGCAGCAGCAGCAACAGCATCATAACGTATTCTTCGTTGGTGGCAAACGCAGGCTCACGAACAGAGTTTGCGACTTCCCGGACCACAGCCATTGCCCCGCTCAGTGGCAGTTGGGGGGTGGGGACCTCCCACAACCCCCTCCTCCGGTGGTGGCTGTGTGGTGGTGGCGGTGGTGGGGGCCACTGTTTAGACGTCCACCTCCCTCCCCGCTCGCCCCCCCCCCCCACACTCACGCCACCCGTTGTGTTTACTTTCAGAGAGTTCAGTTTCCGAAGGTCAAAGCCTTCCACCGAGGGGCAGCGGGGGTGGGGTTGTGTGTCTAGGGGGGTAGAATGCGGGGGTGGGGCGGGTACAGCCGAGGGGGCTCCCCCCACCCAAGGGGGGTGCCTCAGTACATGTCCTTGAAGATCTCATGCAGCAGGGGCGGCATGGCCGTGTCGGCCTCCGTGCGCCGAATGTCGTGCACCATCTGGGCGTGCTCGGCCACCAGCTGGCGCAGGTCGGAGAGCTTCTGCAGCAGCTTGGGGAAGAGGAAGGCGCTCTTGGGGTGGCTGCGCCTCAGCTGCAGGTCGAGCGCCTGCAGCACGCGCTCCTGCATCCGCTCCACGGGGCCCACGTCCAGGAGGCCCGGTCGGTCTGGGCGCGGGCAAGGGAGCGACGATTAGAAAGCGGCGAGGGAAAATTTCGCCCGGCCGAGACTTTCACGTGGCGCGCAACGCGGCAGGGAGGAGGGTGATTCAGGGGTTCGAGAAAATCCACAGGCAAGCGGGAAAGGAAGGCCCAGAGTTGCTCGCCAACAATTGTCCAAGCTCTGCCGTCCTTACAGTGGAACGTCCAACTGGGGATAGTGAGTGGTGTACACACGGCAGAGAAAACCGCGAGTTCCCCGGACAAAACGTGTTGGCCGTGAGCGGGAATCGAACTCGGGTCACTGGGTTCGTAGCGCGGCATGTTTATCGCTATAAAGACAAAGATCCCCCGTGTAGCCTTAGCATACTGCTGGGGAAAGTGCTGTGAGCGAGCACCTACGCAGGCCGGGACGTCACACGAGGGGGTGTGTGGCCAGCACCACACTCGGCCGCCTTTGTCTCCCCAGTGGCGCTTATTTTACCCACCGCACCAGGTTATACGACCACGATGAGACACACGGACATACATACACACAGACACACACTCACGCGTGTACACGAAGACAAATATCCCGTAGCCCACTGTTGGCGCAAGTGCTGAAACACAGGGACACAGACGCAGAGGGAAGGCCACCGCGTGGCCTCGGTAGCACCGTGACCGCACTGCCACCTGCTGCCCGCAGCATCGCTCTGCAGCCTGCATCATCTCGTCAAGGAGAATGAAGCCAGCGAGTGTTCTTCGTGTGCTAAGGCCACCGCGAGCCACTGGGGGCCTTCAGTGCGCACCCCCCCCCCCCGCCGAACGTGAAAACTGAAAACTCCCCCCAACATCATCATCATCATCGTGCTGTTGTCACAAACCCAACAGTGGTTTCACATGGTGTGGCGGTCCCTCACACTGATGATGTCCGATCGGCCAAAGTGCCCACCCCCCCTCCCCTCCCACGTCGACTCCGGTGGCCATCCTCGCAGCGGCGGTGGCGGCGGCTTCCGGCTGCTGCCATCTCACACAGACGGCGGCGGCGGTCACCGCATCGCGTGGCGCTTTCGGACACGCTTTCTGCGGCCGTCTGGAACGCCTCTTCCTTCCCAAAAAAGGAATCAGCTGGGAGCTGTGCACTTTAAAATCGCCATCTAGATTGACAAAACTCACTTCTTTAGAGCTGCGTTTTGTGTTTAGCTTGTTGGGTCCGCGCCTGCACCCGCGATGAGCACGGGTGGCTACATTGGGCACGAAAGAAGTTCAACAAACTTGCTGCTATGCAGCTGTGCAGGCCGTCGAGACGACCGCTGTCAGCGAGCCCCCATTTGGCGTGGTGTGGCTGGGACCACACCCAGTCACCTTTGTCTCCCCGCTGAACTCATCATCGTAGTCAGTCACCTGTGCGTGACTTGTGCTCTTTGGCACCAACCTTGGTTTCAAGATATCGCACAGTCATAAACCGCACACACCCCCACAAACACATTATACAAACACGGATTACACAAACACATTGCACACACATTTACAAACATATTACACAGGTTACACACAAAGATCCCACGTATAGCCTGTAACCGCGACACTACTGCTCCCCACGGGCACATTACACACACACACAGATTACACACACACGGATTCCACGAACAGATTACACACACACGTTAACACTACAGATTGTACACACACACAGATTACTTGCACATATTACACACAAACATTACAAATACAGATTACACACACACATTGCATACACACAGATTACACACATTACACGGCTTACACATACACGTTACAAGTACAGATTACACACACACAGACTACACGTACAGAGTACACACACAGACTACACACACATACGTACAAAGATTACACTCCAGATTACACACACACAGATGACACATATTGATTAGACAAACAGATGACACACACATTACATACACAGATTACACGTACAGAATCCATATACACAGATTACACACACAGATTGCACATACACATTACACACACAGATTACATACACTGATTATACGTACAGAATCCATATACACAGATTACACATACAGATTACACACACACACATTACATACACAGATTACACATACAGATTACATACACAGATTACACGTACAGAATCCATATACACAGATTACACATACAGATGACACACACAGATTACACGTACAGAATGCATATACACAGATTACACACACAGATTACACACACACATTACACACACAGATTACACGTACAGAATACATATACACAGATTACACATACACATTACACACACACATTACATACACAGATTACACGTACAGAATACATATACACAGATTACACATACAGATTACACACACACATTACATACACACATTACACATACAGATTACACGTACAGAATCCATATACACAGATTACACATACACATTACACACACATTACATACACACATTACATACACACATTACACGTACAGAATCCATATACACAGATTACACATACACATTACACACACACACACATTACACACACAGATTACACATACAGAATACATATACACAGATGACACACACACATTACATACACAGATTACACGTACAGAATACATATACACAGATTACACATACACATTACACACACACATTACATACACAGATTACACGTACAGATGACACACACATTACATACACAGATTACATGTACAGAATCCATATACACAGATTACACATACAGATTACACACACACATTGCACACACAGATTACACGTACAGAATCCATATACCCAGATTACACATACAGATTACACACACATTACACACACAGATTACATGTACAGAATCCATATACACAGATTACACATACAGATGACACACACACACATTACACACACAGATTACACGTACAGATTACACATACACATTACACATACACATTCACACACAGATTACACGTACAGAATACATATACACAGATTACATATACAAATGACACACACACATTACATACACAGATTACACGTACATAATCCATATACACATTACACATACACATTACATACACAGATTACACGTACATAATCCATATACACAGATTACACATACAGATGACACACACATTACACACACAGATTACACGTACAGAATCTTTATGCACAGATTACACATACACAGATTACACGTACAGAATCTATATGCACAGATTACACATACAGATTACACACACAGATTACACATACAGATTACACACACAGATTGCACGTACAGATTACACATACAGAATACATATACACAGATTACACACAGATTACACGTACAGAATCCATATACACAGATTACATATAAACAGATTACATACACAGATTACATATACACAGATTACACATACAGATTACACATACAGATTACACATACACAGATTACACACACACATTACACAAACACATTACATACACAGATTACACATACACATTACATACACAGATTACACACACACAGATTACACGTGCTGATTATATACACACGGAGGCCGATCTTGATACCGTTGGTACCAGTCATCGGCAAGTACACTCAGCTCCACATCATCTTGTACCGCATCAGCTCCATCTCTTCTCCAGCCCGTTTGGCCCCCTCTAGCAATCCCTTCACTTCAATCCCACTGCCCGTCACCTAACCCTCAACCCTTGCACCCCCCCCCCTCTCCATGACCGCCGTCTAACCCCCCCCCCATCCCCCGGCTCAGGATGATGGCGCTCTGGGCCTGCACCGTTCAAGAGGTGGACTTGAACATCGCCGGGGGCGATCAATCGATCAGTCAATCGGTGTCTCTCGCACAGGATGATGGCGCTCTGGGCACTATGGTGGCTAGGAGATGTTAACTACCACGCCTGGTATACAGGAGAACGTGAGTTCGATCCCGACCCTGATGCCTGTTGTGTATTTGTAGTTTGCGTGTCTCTCTCTTTCCCTGTGGTCACGTGGATTTTCTCCGGGTGCTCCGGTTTTACACTCAACATTTAGAATCAACGTCACGCGTTTAGAGAATTTGACTGCTACTCATTGTTTTTTTTCGGTAAAGTCACGTATGTAGAAATACAATAAAATTATATTGAAATAAAAACAATAACGACGTTTCGATCACAACACAAGCGATCTTCATCAGGTGTCAAGAACAAATCATGGAGGTAAATACAACAAGATGAGAGAATTCAACAAACCTAAGAAACATTATGTGAAGCACAACCAGTCAGGCCAACAACACAGACACTTCCTGGCGGACCACGAATTTCAGAAGAGTGTTAAATTTCGTGTTCAACCTCTGGATTGCACATACCAGCATAGAATGAAAAAAATACGAGGTACACAGTCAGTAGAAATACATATACAAGCTCACAAGAGGCAAGGAGGGAGGAAAGACGGACAGGGAAGCAAGGAGAGAGAGAGAGGGGGGCTGGAGGGATGAACAGAAGCCTTAAATAGGAAATAAGGTTGGGGGGAGGGACCAGAGAGAGCGCGGCAGCTGAAACAAGCACATCTTGCACATACACAGAAGCTTCACATAATGTTTCTTGGGTTTGTTGAATTCTCTCATCTTCTTGTTGTATTTACCTCCATGATTTGTTCTTGACACCTGATGAAGATCGCTTGTGTTGTGATCGAAACGTCGTTATTGTTTTTGTTTCAATATTATTTTATTGTATTTCTACATACGTGACTTTACCGAAAAAACCTATGAGTAGCAGTCAAATTCTCTAAACGCGTGACGTTGATTCTAAATGTTGAGTGTAAAACCGGGCGTGTAGGTGAGGGAGTGTAAGTGTGAGGGAGTGTAGTTGTGAGGGAGTGTAGGTGTGAGTGTGTGAGGGAGTGTAAGTGTGAGGGAGTGTAGGTGTGAGGGAGTGTAGGTGTGTGGGAGTGTAAGTGTGAGGAAGTGTAGGTGTGAGGGAGTGTAAGTGTGAGGGAGTGTAGGTGTGAGGGAGTGTAGGTGTGAGTGAGTGTAAGTGTGAGTGAGTGTAGTGTGAGGGAGTGTAGGTGTGAGTGAGTGTAAGTGTGAGTGAGTGTAGTGTGAGGGAGTGTAGGTGTGTGTGAGGGAGTGTAAGTGTGAGGGAGTGTAGGTGTGAGGGAGTGTAAGTGTGAGGGAGTGTAGGTGTGAGAGAGTGTAGGTGTGAGGGAGTGTAGGTGTGAAGGAGTATAGGTGTGCCCCAAGTGTGGGTGTGAGGGAGTTTAAGTGTGAGGGAGTGTAGATGTGAGGGAGTGTAAGTGTGAGGGAGTGTAGATGTGAGGGAGTGTAAGTGTGAGGGAGTGTAGGTGTGAGGGAGTGTGTGAGGGAGTGTAGGTGTGAGGGAGTGTAGGTGTGAGGGAGTGTAAGTGGGAGGGAGTGTAGGTGTGAGAGAATGTCGGTGTGAGGGAGTTTAAGTGTGAGGGAGTGTAGATGTGAGGGAGTGTAAGTGTGAGGGAGTGTAGGTGTGAGGGAGTGTGTGAGGGAGTGTAGGTGTGAGGGAGTGTAGGTGTGAGGGAGTGTAAGTGGGAGGGAGTGTAGGTGTGAGAGAATGTCGGTGTGAGGGAGTGTAGATGTGAGGGAGTGTAAGTGTGAGGGAGTGTAGGAGTGAGGGAGTTTAAGTGTGAGAGAGTGTAGGTGTGAGGGAGTGTAGGTGTGTGGGAGTGTAAGTGTGAGGAAGTGTAGGTGTGAGGGAGTGTAAGTGTGAGGGAGTGTAGGTGTGAGGGAGTGTAGGTGTGAGTGAGTGTAAGTGTGAGTGAGTGTAGTGTGAGTGAGTGTAGTGTGAGGGAGTGTAGGTGTGTGTGAGGGAGTGTAAGTGTGAGGGAGTGTAGGTGTGAGGGAGTGTAAGTGTGAGGGAGTGTAGGTGTGAGAGAGTGTAGGTGTGAGGGAGTGTAGGTGTGAGGGAGTGTAAGTGTGAGGGAGTGTAGGTGTGTGGGAGTGTAGGTGTGAGGGAGTGTAGGTGTGAGGTAGTGTAAGTGGGAGGGAGTGTAGGTGTGAGAGAGTGTAGGTGTGAGGGAGTGTAGGTGTGAGGGAGCGTAAGTGGGAGGGAGTGTAGGTGTGAGGGAGTGTAGGTGTGAGTGTGTGAGGGAGTGTAAGTGTGAGGGAGTGTAGGTGTGAGGGAGTTTAAGTGTGAGAGAGTGTAGGTGTGAGGGAGTGTAGGTGTGCGGGAGTGTAAGTGTGAGGGAGTGTAGGTGTGAGTGTAAGTGTGAGTGAGTGTAGGTGTGAGGGAGTGTAGGTGTGAGGGAGTGGAAGTGTGAGGAAGTGTAAGTGTGAGGAAGTGTAGGTGTGAGGGAGTGTAAGTGTGAGAGAGTGTAGGTGTGAGGGAGTGTAAGTGTGAGGGAGTGTAGGTGTGAGGGAGTGTAAGTGTGAGGGAGTGTAAGTGTGAGGGAGTGTAGGTGTGAGGGAGTGTAGGTGTGACGGAGTGTAGATGTGAGGGAGTGTAGGTGTGAGGAAGTGTAGGTGTGAGGTAGTGTAAGTGGGAGGGAGTGTAAGTGTGAGGTACTGTAAGTGGGAGGGAGTGTAAGTGTGAGGGAGTGTAAGTGTGAAGGAGTGTAGGTGTGCGCAAGTGTAGGTGTGAGGGAGTGTAGATGTGAGGGAGTGTAAGTGTGAGGGAGTGTAGGTGTGAGGGAGTGTGTGAGGGAGTGTAGGTGTGAGGGAGTGTAGGTGTGAGGGAGTGTAGGTGTGAGGGAGTGTAAGTGGGAGGGAGTGTAGGTGTGAGAGAGTGTAGGTGTGAGAGAGTGTAGGTGTGAGGGAGCGTAAGTGGGAGGGAGTGTAGGTGTGAGGGAGTGTAAGTGTGAGGGAGTGTAGGTGTGAGGAAGTGTAGGTGTGAGGGAGTGTAGGTGTGAGGGAGTGTTGGTGTGAGGGAGTGTAGGTGTGAGGGAGTGTAGGTGTGAGGTAGTGTAGGTGTGAGGGAGTGTGTGAGGGAGTGTAAGTGTGAGGGAGTGTTGGTGTGAGGGAGTGTAGGTGTGAGGGAGTGTAGGTGTGAGGGAGTGTGTGAGGGAGTGTAAGTGTGAGGGAGTGTAGGTGTGAGGGAGTGTAAGTGTGAGGGAGTGTAGGTGTGAGGAAGTTTAGGTGTGAAGGAGTGTAGGTGTGAGGTAGTGTAAGTGGGAGGGAGTGTAAGTGTGAGGTAGTGTAAGTGGGAGGGAGTATAAGTGTGAGGGAGTGTAAGTGTGAGGGAGTGTAGGTGTGCACAAGTGTAGGTGTGAGGGAGTGTAAGTGTGAGGGAGTGTAGATGTGAGGGAGTGTAAGTGTGAGGGAGTGTAGGTGTGAGGGAGTGTAAGTGGGAGGGAGTGTAGGAGTGAGAGAGTGTAGGTGTGAGGGAGTGTAGGTATGAGGGAGTGTAAGGGAGTGTAAGTGTGAGGGAGTGTAGGTGTGAGGGAGTGTAGGTGTGAGGGAGTGTAAGTGTGAGGGAGTGTAGGTGTGAGGGAGTGTAGGTGTGAGGGAGTGTAGGTGTGAGGGAGTGTAGGTGTGTGTGAGGAAGTGTGTGAAGGAGTGTAGGTGTGAGGGAGTTTAAGTGTGAGGGAGTGTAGGTGTGAGGGAGTGCAGGTGTGAGGGAGTGTAAGTGTAAGGGAGTGTAGGTGTGAGAGAGTGTAGGTGTGAGGGAGTGTAAGTGTGAGGGAGTGTAGGTGTGAGGGAGTGTATGTGTGAGGGAGTGTAAGTGTGAGGGAGTGTAGGTGTGAGGGAGTGTAGGTGTGACGGAGTGTAGATGTGAGGGAGTGTAGGTGTGAGGAAGTGTAGGTGTGAGGTAGTGTAAGTGGGAGGGAGTGTAAGTGTGAGGTACTGTAAGTGGGAGGGAGTGTAAGTGTGAGGGAGTGTAAGTGTGAAGGAGTGTAGGTGTGCGCAAGTGTAGGTGTGAGGGAGTGTAAGTGTGAGGGAGTGTAGGTGTGAGGGAGTGTATGTGTGAGGGAGTGTAGGTGTGACGGAGTGTAGGTGTGAGGGAGTGTAGGTGTGACGGAGTGTAGGTGTGAGGGAGTGTAGGTGTGAGGAAGTGTAGGTGTGAGGTAGTGTAAGTGGGAGGGAGTGTAAGTGTGAGGTAGTGTAAGTGGGAGGGAGTGTAAGTGTGAGGGAGTGTAAGTGTGAAGGAGTGTAGGTGTGCGCAAGTGTAGGTGTGAGGGAGTTTAAGTGTGAGGGAGTGTAGATGTGAGGGAGTGTAAGTGTGAGGGAGTGTAGGTGTGAGGGAGTGTGTGAGGGAGTGTAGGTGTGAGGGAGTGTAGGTGTGAGGGAGTGTAAGTGGGAGGGAGTGTAGGTGTGAGAGAATGTCGGTGTGAGGGAGTGTAGATGTGAGGGAGCGTAAGTGGGAGGGAGTGTAGGTGTGAGGGAGTGTAAGTGTGAGGGAGTGTAGGTGTGAGGGAGTGTAGGTGTGAGGGAGTGTAGGCGTGAGGGAGTGTGTGAGGGAGTGTAAGTGTGAGGGAGTGTAGGTGTGAGGGAGTGTAGGTGTGAGGGAGTGTAGGTGTGAGGTAGTGTAGGTGTGAGGGAGTGTGTGAGGGAGTGTAAGTGTGAGGGAGTGTTGGTGTGAGGGAGTGTAGGTGTGAGGGAGTGTAGGTGTGAGGTAGTGTAGGTGTGAGGGATTGTAAGTGTGAGGGAGTGTAGGTGTGAGGGAGTATAAGTGTGATGGAGTGTTGGTTTGAGGGAGTGTAGGTGTGAGGGAGTGTAGGTGTGAGGGAGTGTAGGTGTGAGGGAGTGTAGGTGTGAGGGAGTGTAGGTGTGAGTGTGTGAGGGAGTGTAAGTGTGAGGGCGTGTAGGTGAGGGAGTGTAAGTGTGAGGGAGTGTAGGTGTGAGGGAGTTTAAGTGTGAGAGAGTGTAGGTGTGAGGGAGTGTAGGTGTGCGGGAGTGTAAGTGTGAGGAAGTGTAGGTGTGAGGGAGTGTAG